GGAATGCTGATATACTGAGGTAGCAGCTTAATAAATCATTGTACTCATAAACCAATTTTGTCAAAGCAAATACTGAACTTGATATCTCATGTAGTTTGAACACAATGTTCACACTGTGCTCCTTTTTTGGTAAAACAGATAGCATCAAATGATTTAAATGTCTGTGCTTGCTGCTTTGAATGTGATATATAGAGCACTCTAAATATATTTAAGATAAGATAAGATGGACCTTTATTAATTCCTGTGGGGAAATTCAGGATATTATATTTCCATCAGTGCGTGAAAGTATGCCAAACCGTGAAAAGATGACTTCCTTCAGGATCATATATGGAAACGAACAACGAGTAGGATTTAATTATAGACACACTTCAGTCATTACAACAGAACAGATCATTTTACAAGTTCTGCGTATTTGAGATGATCCTATGATACTGAAATGAGCAGAAAATTAACAAATGTGAGAAAGTAGAAACGGTAATACACTCTGAAAAGACAGCTATACATTCAATTATTGAATTATAATTGCTCTAGCCACTGGGAATTGTTTGACATTTGCACTTGTAAATAGTTTGAACATAAATAATATTTCCAGTAATTGCTTCTCCTCTTTGAAGCTTAAAATACCTTTCGTGTCGATTAATACTGTAAAAATGTAATTCCAATTAGGCTGATAAAATGTCCATTTACTTCAATTACTGTGTTAAAAAAAGTCCATACATAAGAGCAACAACATGTCCTAACTTCTCAAACTTAACAGGCATGGCTTTTTCATTTAGCCATGCAGCAAAGATGAATTACTTTAGGCTCATTGTGTTCTCTTGTAATGGGATTTGAATAATTTGCATTCTTCTCAAATGAGCCCCTGTGTGACTGCAGTCCACACAGGGGCTATGATAGGCATAATGGAGAATTCAGTTTATCTCTTAAATAAACTGGAATGGCTTTGTTTTCTCATCGGTGTGTTTGCTTTCTGTGTACACGTTTTACTCTGTATCAGCTTTTAACAGCTGTAGCACTTAACATGCATTTTTTATTCAAATAACGGTGGTTTCAGCTCTGCTCAAATGTAAAACCAACTCCAATAGTATCATTTGACATCACTGGAGGGTCCATTAGTCATACTGTTCTGTGGGGTGTGGTTGGGGGGGGGGGGGGGGGGGGGGACTTGCCTACAGGGCTGAAGCTTTCCAGTCAGATGTCATCACATACAATCAGCTGAGAACAGGATGAGGCTCTCTGTGTCTCATTCACAGTGTTATGGCAGGGCCCCTCATCTCTTTTATGTCATAACCAAACAGCCTCCAGGGCCCCTTTGTTTTAATTTCAGCTGAGATTACATCCCATTATAGACAAACTGTGTCTCACTGATGTATAATGGGATCTAATTACAATGCCATATTTTGATTATTATGACTGTATGACATCATTTCACTTTGCGATTTAACCTTAAAACTAATCCTCAACCATCTCAACCAGTCTAGTGCAGCACTGAGTCATTGAGGCAGACACATTTATATTTTACCAGGAAACCATTGAATCAACTTGAAAGTAACCCAGTACATGTTTAGTCCTAAAGGAACAGAGAAGTACATATTAAGAAGACTTATCTCTTGGCTATTCCATGTTTGTAACGCAAATATGTATGCAGCTTCAGCAGTAGTTAGTTAGTAGCTATTTGAAGGTAACAGAATATGACTTCCAGCTCCTCTGAGTCACACATATTAACACGTTACAATAAGACAATATGTGTGACAGTGAGGTTGCTCAGTCCCCAGTTCTAAGGAAGTCCCAAAGCTTGGTGTGAATGCACTGTAGTTCTCATCCTGTGTGTGTAATTGATTGATTACTTGATGTCACAATCCCTAACGTTTCTGCTCTTCAGTGCTGTGGTTGATCTTGGAGACTTTTAAATAATGTGCCTACCATGACAGATTTTAATTTGAGACCCTCAAGGCAAGGCACGTTTATTTATATAGCACCTTTCAACACAAGGCAATTCAAAGTGCTTTATAAACATAACAAACAATAAGAGCATTAACCCTCTGAGACCCACATAGGACATTTCCGTTTTTGTATATGTTTGTGTTTTGCCTTATAGATTGTCATTTCTTTACAGTATAATCAAGTTTTACACATCCCAGAAATCAGCACAACCTCAGCTAATGATATATGTCACCCATTAGAGACTTATATACACTGTAATAGGGGATATTTGCCCATAAATAAACAATTAATAAAAAAACGGAGCTTGAATTTTTCACTTATTTTATTAAAAAGAACTGCTAACCATAACATTGAAAGAAACATTCAATACACAAAATTGCACACATTTATTATCATTGTATGATAGTGTTTTCTTGCGAGGAATTGTCATTTTTTGTCCTGCCAATTTTGAAGACTACACATGATATATATCATGGCAGTTCCTGCCCACAATCACTCATGGCATGCTGAGCAGATTCGTCTGAATTTTCATCGACATCGAACTTAATTATTACATTAAAATGATGTACATTATTCAAGTTTACATTCACTTTGGATAATAACACAGGAGAGAATTTCCCCAAATTAATTCCTCATTGGTTCCTCCAGCTAACTGGTTTGAACTGCTTATCACACAAAAACATTAATCAAAGTTGTTTGAAGGGAAAACAAATCAATTTGGAATGCTGATAACAGCATTCCAACTACTTGTTATGCTACGCACGAAAAGTTTATTATTCCGCCGGCTTATTTTGCCGCGCTTCTCCTCCCACATTCCTCATCACAGAAACTCCGTTCAAACATCAAAACATTCAGCTCGGTCGGGAATCGATTGCTATTACTTTTATCATTCATAACTTTCATAATTCCCGAGATATATCCCATAATTCATCACATTTTTAACATTGAAGTCAATGGAGAAACTCTTCAGACTTGAAAAATCTTCAAAATCTTCATGCGACTTCAACTGCTAACTGTTCCTTCATACTTTCACTCAGAAACCTCATTCGAACTTTAAAATGTTACACATCTTTCTGACATTATTCGTGTAACACAACTTTTAAATCTGATTCTTACTTTTAGAGATATTAAACATTGTTCAGACCTTGGTAAAGAGGCTTTCTTCAGATTTTAACATTAACTAGAGTGCGGGATGTCACAGCTAGAGGGTAGGACATCTTGAAATTTGCCTTCATATTTTTTTTTAAAACTGCCATAATTCCCAAACCCTACATTCCTGAGACATACTTTTTCATGACAAACGTAGGAAAACATCTCGTAGCTTGAGAAATGACAAATAATTCATCAAAATAATTAAACAAAATGCCTCTTGAGGGCATGAAGTGACAAAAACTTTCAACATGTCTCCATTAAGGCCCATTGTAAATTCAGCCTGATATTTCCTCACAGCAGCCGCACACCTTTAGTTAATCTGCCAAAAAAGGCCACATTATTGACCCGAAATTACACAAAAAGCAGACTCCGACGCTCAGGGTCCTTGACATGCTTCACGTCTTGAAATTTCACCGATATCTGTTACGGTTCTTCAACAAAACGTTCACATGTAAGAGGTTTATCTTTCATTCAGAACAATGGAAAGGCTCTCCTCTCACTGATTACTGCACATCACCATGGAAACCTTTGATCTCTGGGCTCAAGCACAGGTGTTTCATAACGTCGTTAGCTCAAACATAAACACCTGTGTGTTGGAGATATGACATGATGATGTCATAACTCCAACTGACATGCTCAGAACGCCACCAAACATCACATGATCGTTAACACTGTGGCCCTGAACAGCTCTACATCAAATCTGATGTTACGTAATGTGGTGTTACTATGGCAACGCATCCCTTGCCATAAAACACAATGTCGCTGTAACTCCAATGGACACGGTCCGATCGTCCCCCAATCTTCACCTGTATATCAACGGTACATGCCTCAACAGCTCTACGCCAAATCTGACATCTCACCATATGCCGCTTCCATGGAAACGCATCCCTCGCCATAAAACACGATGTTGTCGTAACTCCTATGCAAATAGTCAAAACAGCAGCAGACTTCAGATAATGGTTAATGGTCCGGCCCTCAACAGCTCTATGTCAATTATGGGGTTTCATCATATGCTGTTTGCAAGGAAACGCATCCCTCGCCATAAAACACGATGTCGCTGTAACTCCAATGGACACGATCCGATCGTCCCCCAAACTTCGCTTGTATATCACCGGTCCATGCCTCAACAGCTCTACACCAAATCTGAGATCTCACCATATGCCGTTTCCATGGAAACGCACCCCTTGCCATAATACACAATGTTGTTGTCACTCCTATGAAAATGGTCAAAACAGCCCCAGACTTCAGATGACAGTTAATGGTCCAGCCCTCAACATGTCTATGTGCCATTAGTGAGTTTTCCTCAAAAGCTGTTGCCATGGCAACGCATCCCTCGCCGTAAGATACGATATTGCTATAACTCCTGTGTAAATGGTCAAAAAGTGCTCAAACTTCACATGTGTGCTAACAGTCCAGCCGTGAAGACATCTATTTGACAATTTTGAGATTTCTTTAAATGCAGTTGCCTTGGCAACACATTGCTCGCTATGAAACACAGTTTTCTCATAACTTCAGTGAAAATTCTCCAAACGGCCCAAAACTTCACAGGTTTGGTAACAATGCAGCCATCAACACATCTAAGCGTCTTATAGGGTGTCATCAAATACCGTTGCCATGGCGACAGATCATTCGCCATCAAGTTAGTTCAAAAGTTTGCAGTTCAAATATTTTGCTGCTTTTCCAAGCCTTTTTACTTTCTTTAATTCTCTCATCACACATTCAAGCCCCCAGTGTTCATGTATCATTTCAATCTAAATTCTTCACTTTCTTCTTACACATTACATTTCAGCATAGCAGTTAAGCGTCAGCTTTTCAGCATAAAGCATTCCCACTGTGAATTTCTTCAGGAATTGCATTCTCTAGTTCACATTGCACTGTGAACATTGTGCTGTTCTCCTTTGCAGCCTGCTTGGGAAATGTCCCCCACAAACAAGCAGCAATGATCTGGAGCAAAGCCACGGCAGGCATGAATCTGTCTGATGAGTCCTCCTACCAAGAGGAGGGGCTGCTGGGTAACTCCACCTGGGCCTACTCCTACTATCACCAGAACTACACCCTGCCCCCCCCACTGCTACAAGGCAAGACCAGCACCTCCAAACCTGCAGCGTGTGAGCAGGTCCACATCGCAGTCGAGGTATGGACAGGGTGCTACTGAACACCAATATGCAGCATTTTTTTTACTCTTTCCTATTTTATTAACTTTGCTATTTCCATTTTAGGACAAGTCTTCTGCTTTTCTGCTCATCTACTCTAACCTCCCTCTCTGTGACACTGTGTTCTGCTCTCATCAGGTCTTCCTGATCCTGGGTATCATCTCCCTGCTGGAGAACATCCTGGTCATCACAGCCATAGTAAAGAACAAGAACCTCCACTCACCCATGTACTTCTTCGTCTGCAGGTGAGAGGTTCATAACATATGATCTTAGAATCAAAACTCTCTTTTTAAGATTGACATGTGCCAGGTCTGTATGATTAGTAAGTAGGTGGATTATTAAACGTGCGCCATTCTCCAGTGTTTCGGATAAAACATTTGAATAAAGAAACTGTTTCATAAATTCAAAATCTATTTCTCTGCAGTGCTATGTTCTTATGTGGGTGCCGATAAATTCATTGAATGTTTTATGTTTCAACAGTAGCCTTATGTTTTTTTGTGTTTCAGCCTCTTTGAAGCTATTGCATAGTTAAATCAATCGTTAAACAGTTTCCTAATTCACTTCATCCTGGGGCCTGACATGATTTGGGTCAACGCGGAAAATCATGTGGCCCCCGACTGAACCCCTGCTTTCCCATCACTTTTGAATTGTTGTGTAATACTCCTATATCAAGAGAAATTGATATACAATGAAAGAACAACACAAAGTGAGACAATAAGGGCCTTAAACTAAACCCAAACTCAGGACAAAGTGCAAAAAATGACATTGGGTAATTTGCGGCTGTTCCTTCAGGCCATGATAATTTCAGAAGTATTTACTGTACATGGTTATTGTTCATCTCTTCTTTATTGTGAAACTTTTCAGTGGACGCACATCTAGCTTTATGCTGGGCAGTGTTGATGGTCAGTCTGTCAGTCAATCACTTGGACTGTTATGTCTCACTAACTGTTCAATAGTCTGCTTTGACATTTTGTAGGAATATAGGAAGCATAGGGAGCATCTAAATATCTTGAGCCCCTGACTTTTCCTCTAGCGCCACCAGCAGGTCAATTAAATGTGTTCAATACTTTGCTTCGTAACCAAATACATACAAATAGATGCATATCCCATCAGCCTCATCTGTATGGCGTTATATTTGTGCCTCTATCCTGAGCACTCAATGAAACATGTTGAGCATAGAAAATGCTATTGAGCGCGCACTTGAACATTTTTGAGCACAGAGAAATATATTTTCTCTCATAAAATTCCTGCTCCGTGCGCAAGCAGACCGCTGCACGCGCTCTCTCTCCCTCGCTCGACCTCTCCACCCTGTGCGCGCTCAGCTTTGCCTGCCTGCTCGCTCAAGTTGTCACAGCGTTACAAATGTGCCACAAAACCAACCAATCGGAGAACTCGAGAAGGTCTATTCTGATTGGCTGGTCGTCTCCAACCATATCTTCTATCTGAGATACGAGAAGAGAGGGATTTTCGGTTGCCATCAGGCTGTTGACGTTCTTATTACACATCCATTGTTGACATTTACAGGACATGACAGACTCGAATGAAGAGAATAGTACGCCACAGTGTCAGGTGAGTTATACATTTCTAGTTTTCTGATATCACGTTATTGTTTGCAATGCCTTTGACGAAACCTTTTATCCGATCGTTTCAGATAAGGGTGAGTTTGCTATCCGGCAACATAGCTATATGGGTAGTTTAAGCAAACAGCTAACAAACCGTAGCCTACATGTACATGAACCCTTCTGAGGTATTGATCACTTGCTGTAAGCATTAGAGGTGGCAGAATGACAAAACATGTTTCTCTCTCTATCACAATTTTGGGTTGACCAGAACCTGGACCAACTTCTGTTTCCTGTTCTACAATGGGCATAGTAGAGCTTGCGTTAATTTTCAACCGGACAACTAAACAGATTAGGCTAGGATACCGGATAAAGTTAGCAACACACGTTAACCATGAACAGCCTGTTAATCCGTTCTCCTAATGTTATTTCATCCAACGTTGTGGAATTAGAGAAAAGGGGCTTCTTAACGTGCTTTTATCCGGGGTGGAGGGAGTTAAATATTAGTTTAATATAACATTGGGGCGTGTGATTGTAGTGGGTGGAGGTGGTGAAATGAGGATATCCATTTTGGAGTTCAAGCTAGTATAATATAGTTAACGTTACACAATAATAAGGAAGAGAGCTATTTTTGTGATACATCGCTATTGATATGGATTTAGAGTGCATATTTGAGACTTCCAAACAGTAAACAAAAACGTAACTTATGGGTGAGTGTTTTTAGCAGAGTCATATAATGTCCTTGTGATTCTGTTGATTATTACCTGTCTGTATTATGTTGCAGCTCAGCTGATTTTGGATTGATGGCAAAGGGAGAGGGACTTAAGTGAGAGTGAAAACACAAGGTAAGTTTAAAATAGGTCAGCAATTTCCCATCCTATAGGTTGCTTTATAGATGTATCTAACCCTTTCTCCTGTCTCCCTCTCTCAGCACAAGAACCCCAGGGGGATTCAATGGAGCCTGAAGACCTGCAATGAGACCCTCACCCTAAGCCTGAGTTTTGCAAGCCTCTCCCTGTTCCTTATTTTTATTAAACAGACATTAAGCTTCCCAATGGCGTGGTCTTCGTTTTGTGAAAAATATGATTAACTCACATATGTTGTTGCTGTTGTTGTCTTTTGTGATAGTTAAATTGCTCCTGCTGACTTGAGCCAGCCATTCTTTCCTCCTCTCTGTGTCAGTGGGGAAACTTTACATGTGTACTCCTTTCTCTGAGCGCTTGGATCATCCCCAGGCAGCACAGCAAACCATGGTGGAGACGATATGCCAGGACAACACGGAGGAAAAGGCACAGACAAACTGCATGACATGCTATTCAATGTTTATTGAATTCCATTTATTTACAATGGATGTTCCTAAAACAACACATAAACATCATCATCATGCTGCTGCTGCTAGTCCTTTGACTCATTGTGCTGTCAGTTGACAATCATTGATAGGCACCTGTTGGTCCCCTGTCCTTTCTGAAAGTCATAAAGATTACATTAGTCATTTACTTATGTCCTCAATTACCATGGGATTACTGAAACCACCATGAATTAAAGAAATGGTAGAAATTATTCTAATCTGAATTTTGAAGCCTTCCTTCCCATCCCCTCCCTCTAAATATATCAATAAACATTAGGATGTGATGCTCCTGACTACCATACAAGTTTAAGAAGATAATATTTGTTTTAAAGAATTCAAAGCAATACACAACAGCAACAGGCTCTGTAACCAAGGCAACGTTAGCCTAACATGTATATGTATATGCACGGAGCAGGAGTTTTATGAGAGAAAATATATTTCTCTGTGCTCAGAAATGTTCAAGTGCGCGCTCAATAGCATTTTGTATGCTCAACATGTTTCATTGCGTGCTCAGGATAGAGGCACAAATATAACGCCATACATCTGCAGCTACCGAGGTCTGCTGTCGTGGAGTTGTATTTTCAAGGCGCTGAGAGCTGCACGAGTCTGTGACTATTTGTGTGTGAAGGTAGAAGCTGTGCCTTGTTACTCTTGATTCAACATTTAAAAATACCTTTTATGCTAGCAACGCCACTTATAGCACCAAGTGTCTAGAATATATCTCTGCAGGAAGTGATAAAGGATGCTGTGGCTTTGCAGCATTGCTCCCTTTGATTTGAAATTGCATTTTATTTAGTGTGAAAAAAATTGCTTTTCACGCTAGACATGTGTCTCTAGAGCTTTGTCATCATTTGTATAGGTATGGCATCAGTCAATTACTTTAGTTCAGTGTAAAATATTGGAATTAATCAAATACATTTAATTATTTTTATTAAATAAAATGTAGTACAGACAGTTATTTTCCACCAGAGGATGAATAATTACATTTATTTTGGGCATTCTGCTCTAATTTGACCTATAGTCCGACACAAGTTATGGAATTTTGGCATGCTGTCACCGATTCCCCCCCCCCCCCCCCCGCTCTCAGTTCTGCTAGAGTTTTTGTTCCAGATTCTGCTCTAGCTGTCTGCTGAATCCTCTTCTTTAGCTCTCGCTGAGCCTTTTCAGTATCCGCACAGAGGTTCACGTTTCCTTTGATAAAGTCTCTGAGATCATGTTGTACTGTGAAGTGTCAGCGTGAGTACAGCATAGATCACATGTCCACACCTCGTGATAACCCCAAGTGCAGTGGAATGCATTTGGGTTTAAGATTTTGCAAGCAAGATTTTTTTCCATGAAATGCATTTTCTAGTTAAGTTGTTGTTTTACACTCTGACATGAATGTGTTGTCAAGCAGCTATGACTTCTACCTTGCAGGCTTCTGGATTCATGTGCATCTTTAAAAAATGCTTCCATGTTGTTCTAACCTTAAGCTACCCTGTTTGGCTGTTGCAGTCTGGCAGTAGCGGACATGCTGGTGAGTGTCTCCAACGCCTGGGAGACCATCATCATTTACCTCCTAAACAACAGACAGCTGGTAGTGGAGGATCACTTCATCCGGCAGATGGACAATGTGTTTGACTCCTTGATCTGCATCTCTGTGGTGGCCTCAATGTGCAGCCTGCTGGCCATCGCTGTGGACAGGTAATGATGGACAGAAACTAGCCCTTTTATTTCATGAATAAGTGAGTTTGCGTAATTACTTTGCTCTGCTTTCACTTTCTTCTTTAGTTAAGCTAATAAATATGTTTTATAAGCAAGTCAGTGGATCTCTTTTTGGATATTCCAGTCATTAACATTTTATGAGCTCAACTCTTGTAAATCAACAACCTCTCTCTAATTTCTGCCCAATATGTAACTACTGATCCTGTTATTGGAGTTTATGGATTAAAAGTCAGAATATCCTAACTAGGTGGAACTGCAATACCCAATTCCTGGAGTAGCTCTTTAAGGCCCCGTTTAGATGGAGACGGTTCGGGTTGTATCTGCTACTTTTTTCTATCGTATAGACGGTTCGTTCACACGAGGCCGTAACGGAACCGCGAAAATGGACCCCTCAAACGATAACGGGTCCCAAGGTGGGTAGATCTGCGGACGGAACGCTCTGGGGGGGTCAAACGGCTCCGTATGTACGCCCTATACGCCATAGCCCCGCCTCTCCTGCTCACCCCCGTGTCACCCGCGTCATTGCTGATGTGTTTCGCCAACAACAACAACCGAGTGTTTCGAGCCAGGTCCCGGTATCTCGCAGGACAGTGCACCCAGCAGGAGCCTCCAGCTAGATTTGATCGATATGGACATAAACGCGAGTGAAGTCTAATCGGACAGGAGAGAGAGATCAGAGATCAGCTGCTGCTGACAGAGACACGCAGCTCTGCATGATCACCTGCAGCTCCACCCGCTGTGATGGAGCGATGAGCGGAGCAAAACACACACTTCAAGTTGGATCATCACCCTTAGCTATTTTAATTGCCTCTCAAACTACCTAAACTAGTTATAAATATGTTTATTTTTATAGTCAGGTCACTCATTACTGGATCAGCCAGCTGCATGAGACGGAGTCAGGAGAGGGGGAGGAAGAGAGAGACTCCGTTTATTATTATTATATAGAGTCGTTATCAATTTGTTTTAAAGCTCAATAAATAACAAAGAAGACCTTTGACCGGCATTTTTCTAATTTTGTCCGGAAGATTTAAACTTTAACGGACATGTTGACCGGCGGAAAAAACAGAAGGGCAACCAGGCAACCATGCTTGGGAGGTCTTCTTCGCTGCTTTTGGTGTATTTTGTGGCGGAAGTACAGCGCCACTTACGGCCCGGCATATGTACTACAGCGTCTCCAGCGGGTCGAGCGGTCTCGTGTGGACGGACACGTTTATTGAGCCGACTTTTTTCATATCGAATTCGGTTCATTTTTGTTTCCGTCTCTGTGTAAATGGGGCCTAAAACTTAAAGCTCACCTATTATGCTATATTTGAACAATATATTATAGGGCCATATCTATACAAAACATGTCTCTGAAGTGTTTTGCTCAAAATACCAAACAGATCACCCATTGTAGTATGTTGTTACAATGTACCCTGTTACTAAAGTGCTGATTCTGGGTCTGGCCCTTTAAATGTAACCGAGCTGCTGTGACCACGCCCCTTTGGAGCTGATGTTGGCCACGCCCCTTTTGAGCGTCCGCATGCAAGCAGTGAGCTCTGTGAAGAGAAGGCTGTCTACCAGCAGAAACTCAGCTAAACGCTGCGGTGATTAAACGCCATATTATGTTCCAAACCACATCAAGCATTATTTCTGAAACAGTATGGAGCTCAAATGCTTTCTCTCTCGCAGGTTTACCACAAGGACAGTTCCTTTTATATCCGGCTTCTTTACACATATTCTCTCCAGTACAGCGTTAGCTCTGAGTGTTAGCGATGCTTGCTAATGTAAACACAGACCATATTACGTTCAAAACACGCATTGTTTCTCATTCAGCACATAGCTTGACATGTTCTTTCTTCAGTGTTCACCACTAGAACAGTGCCATTATATGTATTATATATATATAACAACTTTAGTCTAAGTCCCTCCTTTAGACATCCTGCTGAATACACAGACACACAGCTGGGGGAGGGGATTCAGCTAGCGACTGTATATGGGGACGATAGGTTGGGACGTGTTGGGACGTTGCCAGGAGTTCAACGTAAAGCCAGCCCACATTTTAGTAATGTCGTCATGACCGCAGCAAATCTGGATCAGCTCCGTTGTACCCCCCAGCAGCGGCACAAGGTGCAGAGGAGGAGGGCAGTGACATACGAGAGGGTCTGATGCGCTAATTTAATAGTAACACATTCATTGTACTGATTGTACATTTTGTTGAACATAAATACATATTTTTTACTCTTTCACATATACATGTTATCAGAATTGACTTTTTAGTAAATATTTGAATTTCAAGCACCTGTAAGTACTGCCCCATAATAAGTACATTTGAAAAAATAACAGATGTAAAATAATCTTTCTAATAAATTAAGAAAGTTGTTTTGAGGTCTGTTTTGTTTGTTTAGATCTACTATTAACACAGAGGAAATCACGATAAAAATACTTGTTACAAACAAACTGTTTCATCTTCAAACAAGTGCAAATAACAAAGCAAACTATAAACATAAATACAAAAGTGTAAAACAGCAAAACTATATACATAAATGCAAGTGTAAAAGGCCACTACGGCCAGCTGCAGGTGCCGTTCCTGCTGGGCTAGATCTGCACTGTGCATCTCCCTCAGGACTGTGGGGTGCTCCTCTCCTCGTTTCCTCTTGCCTGGAAGACAATAAGATAAGATAAACCTTTTTTAATCCCCGTAGAGAAATTCAGGTGTTATAGCAGCAACAGCAATAAGAAAGAAAAACACAGGACAGGTAAAGGTCACATAAGGATATAAGAATAAAATATATAAGTATAAACAACAGTAAGGATGAACTAAAGACAGTTCTGGCCCTAGATGTTTACAATGATTGTGAAAGTGAATTACATTATGTCCAGCCTGTTGGTAATGAATATAAATATATGTATACATATGTATGGGTATGTACCAGAGGTGGGGACTCGAGTCACATGACTTGACTCGAGTCAGACTCGAGTCGCATATTTTTTGACTTGAGACTTGCTTGACTAACATTGATAAAAGACTTGACTTGACTTTGACTTGGTATTCATGACTTGAGACTTGACTTAAGCTTGAGACAGATGACTTGAAAGGACTTGACTGTTTAAAATTAAATATTTGCGTTTGTTTTTGTAGTGAGATTTTACGTTTAGTTTTTTCGAAAAACGTGATTGGGTGATTATAGCGCCGTGCGCGCAAACCTGGCAACCCACTAGACTGCAGGAGCGTCAGTTAACATGGCAGCGGCTAGCGTTACTCCACAAATAGTGAAGTTTGGATTCAAGGATTATGTTGTCGATGACGCTAATAAGAAGAGAACAGCGGTATGCAGGGTCTGCAGCATAAAGATCGGTGACACGACCACCACAACATCCAACTTCATTCGTCACTACAAAAAAACCCACAGAGAAAGGTGCGTGAATGTGTTGTGTTAGCTAGAAAGCTAACGTTAAGTTTAAGCTACGTTAGACTTGGTTTCAAATCGATTAAGCACTAGAACCGCCAAGGGATTCATTTTGACTAACCCTGATACTGACAGGCTGTCAGGAGAGGGAGAGAGAGAGAGGAAAAGAGATGCCTCGTTTATTTCCCCTGTGTTATTATCAGAAGTTACTGTAAACTTTTGAATAATGTAGTTCATCTACTTTTAGTAGTTTGTTTAAATGTTTTAATTATGTTATTTTTGTTTGTAGAAGTGCATCATTCCTTGATTTATTGTAAAATGAATCTGAACTTTTTAATCTGTTATGATGATAAACTGAAGCAATTTCTAAATTAACCCAATTAAGTGAGTTTTACATCGTCCTACTTAGTTTATAAGGAAATTATGAAGAGGAACAAATTAAATGATTTGAAAATGATATCTATGTAGGTGCTGACGCTGAGGCGGTTCTAGTGTTAACATACATTTCAATTAAATATGTGTAATGGCAAATGCCATATATGATTTTCTTACCTGGAATTCTGCCTTTTTGAACAGACTTTTTGAGTCCTAGCTATATTGTCTGCAGTTCTAGGGTTAATATGAATCTAATATGATTGTCATCGGTCTAAATTAGATTTCAAATTATTAACTGTGTATGCAATGAAGATCATAGTGTGGGTTAAATCCATTTTCATAACCACTGTCTTTTAACTGATTTAAATGCGGAAACTGGGCTTATTCATCAGAATTTCGTATGACTTGACTTGACTTGCTTGACCTGAGCAATGACTTGACTTGACTTGACTTGCTTGACTCTCACCACAGTGACTTGGGACTTGCTTGATACTTGTAGGTCAAGACTTGAGACTTGCTCATGACTTGCACATGTAGGACTTACTCCCACCTCTGGTATGTACAAATATACAGTCATGAAGTAAATGGATAATTACAAATGAATATAAGTATGAATAAATATGAGACCAGTTTAAAGTCCAAAAATCTAAAACAAAGCACAGTCCAAAATAAGTGGAAAGCAGTGCAGGTCCATGTGTCTGCTGCACAATACTTAACAATGAACAATATACAAGAATATATTAGGATGTCACACATAATTGTACTAGCTGCAACATTAATAGTGATTCTTACTACTTTTACTTTTGGTACGTTATTTTACTTGTAACAGAGCATTTCCACACAGTGGTATTGCTTATGTTACCTACTGACGATGATCTAAAGTTTAAAAAAAGTCACAATTCCAGTCGTTTTGCCATGCCTATTTCTTACCTAGAACCACACGCTGGCTGTCGGTGCTCTGGAGCACTGCCATCACTCGTTGTTCGGGACTCCTCCTCGCTAGTCACAACGGCATCTAGAACAGCATACATGACTTGTTAATTCCACAAACTACTGCAGCACAATACTAAATAGCAACAACAACTCTAGAAAACTGGACGTAAACAATGGTATATATATGGTGTTAGCAAACAATAGCTCTAGCTAATGCTATCTGTGCTAACCGTAGCTCTTCGGGGCTCTATAAAAGCATGGGTTGTCGAACATAAATCTAAG